GTTTCCCTAGCAGCGCATTTAGATATGAATGTAAGTATTACCACCGTACATCTACAAATGCAATGCCGCAGCCAGGGCAACTAACAATCGTAAAAACGACATGCGTGTCACCGGCGAAAAGGTTTCACTGAAATCAACATCTTGTCGCAGGTAGCTACCGGATGCCACAATTCTCGCCTTGAATCGAATTACATACCCGTCATGATCCGGCTAAGTGCATATACCCATCCAGAAGTCGTCATCTTAGCGTATTCGAGAACTTCATCATTTGGTATCTCCACAATGACGCCCGCGCCGGCTCCAGACCTTGTTCGCGACTACCACCGCTGAATGGGTGGAGTCGACGTCCATGATCAACTCCGGTTGCAACGTTACAGGTTGCAACTTTTGTCCAAAACACGCGAGTACTACAAGACTCTGTTTTTGGGGCTTCTGGTTATGGCGCTCGTGAAGGCGTTTATCGTTCATCGACACTATCGAAAGGAATGCCACAGGCGCCCGCCACTACCTAACCTTCCTCGAGCTCCACGGTTATTACTTAATACTTAAATCTCGTCCACACTTATACCGGACGAAACAGCCGATGATCGTAGGCTGGGCAAATTTGCAGTGCTCCCCAACGCATCAGAGCTGCTCAAAGTCTAGTGACGCAAGGCCAGAGTCATCCAAAGACGCAAGATGTTTGCATAATTTACGACGCCCCCATTTCTCAGCCAACCGTAGTTGGCATACTTGAAAATAATTTGGCAAGTTCAGACGAAATTTAGAGTACAGTGAGGTATTTTTGTCGTAAAACAGTCAATTGAGCAATATTATCTGGCGTTCTCAGGATAAGCTACAATACCGAGCACGATTATACAGTCGATTCTAGATACAGACTCCGCCCAGAAACTGAAAACTACTTCCTGCTTATAGCCTTTCAAAATAGGCTGTATCAGGCTTAGCATATTTAGGAGGTGATGTCTGTCTCACGCAAATGTGGTTCACACTAACTGTTTGAATTTCGAATCCTCCCGCCAATTGCATCATTGCACGTCTTCGAGCAGAGCAGAACGTGACGAAAGGCACAAAAGGTCTCTGGCTAACTATCAACCAGAAGTGTAAGGTTATTGAAAAACATGCCCGGAGCTTGAGATCCAGCGTGGCGAGTTTGTGATGGAGTGTCAGAGTGCTCATGTCTGTCTTTCTCGTCGGCTCATTACGAAGAAGGCCCAGCGTATTATGGCGAGCCTAAAGTACCCTCCTCCTCTGAAACTATCTGACGGGTGGATGTCGCGCTTCATGAAGCGTCATGGCCTTCGATTTCGAACCATGCATGGCGAGGCAGGATCTGTGGACGCTGACATCATTCGCGAAGGGATGATGGCGATGCAAGATATTGCTCGTCATTACGCGTTGCGAGACATCTGGAACATGGACGAAACTGGGCTCCTGTATCACTCGGCAAAGACGAAGGGCATATGCATGAACAGCACTCCTGGTCTAAAGAAAGACAAACCGAGAATAACGGTGGCGTTGGCGGCTAACGCTGATGGATCTGAGAAGCGTCCAGTTTTTTACATCGGAACAGCTCTACGCCCTCACTGCTACAAGGGAAAGTATGGAGATGAAGTCGGCTTCTACTACCGGAATAATACTAAAGCGTGGATGACGCGGACTTTGTACACGGAGTGGATCAAGTTATTTGATAGCGATATGCGTGCAGCAGGCAGAGACATTCTACTGTTAGTCGACAACGCAACGTCTCATGAACTTCAAAGCGGTGAGCTCACCAACATCACTGTGCAGAAGTTGCCGCCAAACATCACATCATATTTTCAGCCAATGGACGCCGGAATTATTGCGGCAGCAAAGAGTGGTTATCGCGATAGGCACATGAGTTTGGCGTGCGATAGGGCTGACAAGTCGATGCCACACAAGGCTCCACGTTGACCAATTGCAAGGAATGAAGTGGGTTGACGAAGCATGGGACGATATCACTCCAGAGACAATTCGCCACTGCTTTATGAAGAGCGGGATAGTATTTTCAGAGGAGAAGAAGAACAACCCTCCTCCCACGCGTCGACACCAAGTGAGAATGAGCGACGTTTTAATTTGACAAATGAATGTGAGACATTTTCATTGTGATATTACATATTCGGTACATAGTTTATAACCTGGGGGAACTTTGAAGGTCCACCCTTTTCAGTTTCTGGGCGGAGTCTGTACCTCGTAGAGCGATGCAACTCTGTTTAGGAATGCGTTTTTCAGCATGCTTAGCTGATACCATGACGACTATTGAAAACATTGGCTTCTGATTAACTGAATATGTGGATAAAAAACGTAAATGACCATTTTATGGCAAAGGTTAAAAAATTTCAAATTTAAGTATATTTTTCTTTCATGCCAGTACTATACGTTACAATACAGGACTGATCAATCATATGATATTCTGACCAATTATTGCAGTATGTAAAGTTGCCAGAGCTTGGTTATACTTTTATTTTGTAGGCCACTAAGCATTGCAAGAGTATTTTGCAATTTTTTTTAAGTATTGGAGGGAAGATTGAGCAATAAAAGTTTTCCGTACACATAAAATGCATGTCATTGTACTGATATCATTTTTCTAACCTCTGAACCGGAGAAGCAATACTGAAATCACGTTAATTTAGCTACTAAGCTTTTGTCGCAGTACGAAAACCTTTGTGCTGTACAGAAATACTGCAAAATCTTGATCAGCGCCACAAATCGAGCTTAGCACTACGTAAGGAACCGACCGACACATGTCTAAATAGGATCGCCCTACTCATCCTACAAGCCAAGGTATGACCGAAAATGTTGATGTACTAAAAGTTATGTCCCGGAGTGTAGGCATTATTGATTGGTATATATCCTTCCTGTTGGCGCTGTATCGCTTTGCTTTTTCGTGTTTATGGTTGACTTCTGTTGCCTTTGATGCGAGTTTCTGCGAAGTCATCTTCTGCCATGCTTTTTTTTTCTTTTCGGGGGTCTTCCTTTCCTTATCAGCTAGTTTGGCTGCAGCGACTTGAGCTCTTTCAACCTACTTTTCTTCTCGCTCTGCCTTCTTCTTTGCGTCAAGCTGTTTCTTTGCCTTTTTCTTCTCAGCGCGTTCTTGTTCCTTAGTGATCAGCTCAAGAACAGCTAGCTTGCGTTTTTCCTCCGCCTTTGTAGCTGCATCAACTATTTCTGGATGAGTCATGAGAGCACCACCCTCTTGATACGTTCGACTTCGACGGATCTTGTGCATTTAGCTGTAAGGCTTGCTGGAGAGACCCGTTGCTCGAATTTCACATCGTCTATCACACTATGCACCGATCACCCAATTGAGTCAACACCGTACATGTATCAAAACGGATGGCATGGTAGTCAAACTCGAAGGTGCTTATAAGTAATCGAAGTGCACTATTTAGCCTTGAAAGTACTGCTTCTGAGTATGTAAGTACGACTGATACTCGCTACTTACCTTAAAAAAACTAAATAGACAATTTCCTCATCATGGGCCAGGTCCGCTAGCTACTGTCCGATAAACTATTGACCAATTCGTTACCTTGTAACGTTGTATACGAGGCAAGGCATAGGATGGTAAGAAAAATGTGTTGTTATTGCAACTATTGTCTGACTACCAATATCGGCTACATATTACTCACCACTAATAATAGTATTGAGGAGAAGGCTTCGTCTTCACCAGAAGCTGCCCTGTTCCTCGCCAATACGAACGCTTTTATTTTTTATCAATTGAACTTTTTAAACGTTTTTCGATAGATGGGTACAAATGGATTAAGATAAAGTTTGTATCGGTGGAACCCCCCCCCGGTCCTCTTTTTGAGCTAGCACAATGCTTACTACTGCACCGGCCCAGACTTCGACGCCGAGAGTGACATCTCCATGGTCGCTACGGATACGAAGATCACTCAGGCTGTCACGATGGCGTCTCCAGGACCTTGCGCCCGACGAGGAAAAATGAAGATTGAAATTGCGGTTTGCGCGTGATGATCTTCCCACTCAACTGTTGCTTTCTAGAACGGCCCTAGGAACAGTGCATGGGGCTCGACTGAGGTCGGGAGGGGGTCTTCGAGCGTTGCGTGCGCAAACGCTGATGCATCTGCAAGTAAATACCCTCGCGGCCTACTTACTACCTTAGCGGGTCGCGTATGATGACTCGTCGTCGAGATAGAACAGTTATTTGGACGCTGTAAGTTACTTTGGCATCGCTAGGCAAGTCTTCCAGCTTTTCCACGTTTCAAATTTCATGGATGTCAAATACTACTAGTTGTAGCTAATCGTTCAAACGCGGCCATGAACCAAGTACGCTACAGCACTGCGGTCAAAACTATTAGCTGTGTCTTGTGGCGATATAGCAGGGGTCTGAATAAAAAATTTCAGTATCACTAAAATAAGTTTTATAAAATATAAAAACGGATTACTGCAACCTTCTTAAAAATATGAATATGATATTGCTCCAATATTTCCAGTATAATTTACAAAAGTAGGCTCATAGAAACTTTAGATGCCTTACGAAACAATTGGACGTCTCAGCACCGTATCTTGATGTCTGTATTGCCCATACTAGCTCTTAGTTATGAATCTGGAGACAGTGGTGGTATTATCTACAGCGAGTTGTAGAAGCAGCTACCCCCAACATCAAATGCATGCGAGCGATTATTCTCGCAGTGCAAGCTGGTGCTTACCCCTTAGCGAACATGCATGTTACCTGCCAACTTGAGCTGATTATGTTTTTGCATGCAAACAGGGATTTATTGGATGTGACGAGGATAGCTTCAGCTGAAAGTGACGCAGAGCTGTAGGCAATACTGCAATACTTACTGCAGTTTTTTTATTGGTAATTGTGGAATTTCCCTTTTTATTATTGCGCGGACCCACCGTCAATTCCGTATAATACTGTATTGGAGAACCCCTGCGACATAGTCCCCTTGTCATATTAGTGATTATGCTCGAATACTACCACTCTCGGGGGTGCTTTTGTTTACTACGCCAAATGTCTAGTTCTCGAGCACCACGCGGTAGCGAACACGGCCTTCACGAACCATGTCCAGTCCCTCATTCACTTTCGACATCGGCAACTTTTGTATGATCGGGCGCACGTTCTTCTTGGATGCCAACTCAAGCATGTCCTTAATGTCCTGGATGCTGCCAATACAGCTACCACGGACACGCACAGCTCGCGGCACGATGAAGAATGGGCTGAACTTGACGTCGTCATCAGGGAGGCCAACCATGATAAAGGTTCCACGTTTACGCACCAGGCTCAGATACAAGTTGCACGGCATGTTCTTGGCATCAGCCGTCAAAACAAGATAGTCGACGGATCCGGCAGCCTTCTCCTGGTCTGCTTCGTTGCTCAAATCGTAAAACTCTTTAGCTCCAAGAGCTCGCACCTCTTAGCGGAGCGGGAGAAGGCAATGGGAGCTGCATCCAAAGCCCGGATGAACTGAATGGCAAGGTGACCAAGACCACCAATACCCACGATACCAACACGATCGCCGGCCTTCACGCCTTCCTGCTTCAGAGGCGTGAAGACGGTCGCACCAGCGCACATGAGAGGTGCTGCGACGTCGGACGGAATGTTTTCCGGAAGCTTGAACGCGTAATTGTTGTCGACTCGAACGTAATCGGCGTAGCCTCTATACGATGGGGAGCCATCTGCATACGTCGAAGCGTACGTGTACACGGCGTGGTTGCACACGGCATCTTCAGCGTCCGCGCAATCCTTGCAGGGTTTTTCAGGGTTCTGGTTCAAGCAAGCGTACACCTGAGCACCCACGGCCACACGGTCACCAACTTGGAGCGTTTTGACATTTGCACCTGCCAGAGTCACCTCACCAACGATCTCATGGCCAACAACGCATGGGTAGGCGGCCGGTCCCCAACCACTTTCCATCGTGTGTAGATCGGAGCCACAGATACCACAGTGGGAAATCTTGATTTCCACGTCCTCCGGGCCAAGAGGGCGCGATTGGTACTGCCAAGGCTTCACTTCTGCTTTGGCATCGAAAGCTGCGTAGGCGTTGACGGTTCTCGGAGAGGAGGACATGGCTGTTTTAAGCAGGCTGCTTGAGACTGTTGCTTTAAAAGGCAAATTTAGGAATGAGATTGTTGGGGTTGGCAATGAAGCAGCAGCACGACTGTAGATGTAAGCGAATGCCATCGTCAACTAAATGATTATGGGGAGTTAGACTGCTGTTCCCTGTCCGCATAATCTCGAACTCAATAAGGAACCTCTTTCAGACAGCCCTCTTTGTAGTGATATTATGTCAGCTGCTCAACACGTTTGAGCTCTGATTGATCAAGAAAGTATCCCCACCTAAGCTCACACAAGCCATCCCTTTAATATGAAATGTTTCATCCTGTCATAGTATGACATGGCATCCGAGACAGTGATAGCCTCTAGCTAAGGAGGTTGGTGTGGACCGATCTTTGGTAGTCAAATAAAGAGTCAATGGTCACTTACAGAGGCTCAGTTGTAGAGTTGATGTAGAGCATTTACTATGGGAGCTGAGCATGTATATAAATATGGGGAATCACTGTCCATTTTTTGAAAACTATCGGCTCCATTTACAAGCTTACAGAATAAAGAGACCAGTATTTTCGTTGGATTTGATTCGATTTTTCAAACATCTCAAGTTTGTGATGACACCACTATAAGCGCGGACCTTGCTGTCGGTTTAACCTGCGAGGCAATCAGGATTTTCTGGGCGTTGTCCCACAATTATGCTGCTATAGTGGAGAAGAGTGCGGAAAGGTACCTACATTTTTTAGTCAATATCCGTAAACTTCCCAGTAAAAGTGCCGTCAAATGTGGCCGCTCTGCTTCTGCTTCATTCCCGTTTTACCACCGCGGCCACAAGTCGACTTTCTCAAGCCTTATTCGACATGAAGAGTGCTTTGGTAGCGCTGCTCTCTCTGGTCAGCCTTCTTGCCGTCAGCGCTAGGCTTGATGTGGCCGATATGTCCCCTGCCACGAAGACTGACTCGAGCGCATTGGCGATGGCCCCAGCGGAAATCCCCACGGATACATCCGAAAACCCCGACGCCAGTCTGACGAAGATGAACGCAACTGTCTCGGGGAACAACTTGCTGGTCACTCGCAGCAACATCATCGTCGTTGGCGACCAAGCCAAAAAGGGGATGGTAGATTTCATCAAGAATTTGGTGATAAAAGGCTCCAGTCCGCAAGACGACGATGCGTTGAGTACACAAATTATAACTGTTCTGGGTGGTGGCAATAGCACCGCGACCAACTCGGATCTCGCCACGAAGATAGCACCGACAATTAAGTCCGCTTTCCAGAGCCGCGAGAAGCCTGCACAGCTTCGCCAGATTATCGTGAAGCTGACTGAGATGTCCCCGAAGTTTGGCATGACCGAAGTGGGCGACCACGAAGGCTAATTAGCACCTCCAACCACGCATTTCCTAACACCTGCGTAATCTTATAAGACTTACTGCTGACTCACCTGTGGAGGATAACGGTGACCCGAAAACGCTGAAGGTGTCGCGTCTATACACGTTTCTATTTCTAAACACTTCAACATGAACGATTCAAAGACAGCTCTTTTTTTACATGGACAATAATAGTATTGTCACAATACTGAGTGCTGTGCTGACTACCGGGGTACAGTCTATTAATACAGTAGTTTCCTTGTTGCTATTAAAAAAGTACAGTCGTACCCTGCACTGCACTCTGCTACACAGCAAGAATACATTCCTCTACAGTACCGGTAAATAAATGTCTGAAACGTCTATGGAGGACGGATCTCGCTTCATCATACCGTGGTTGCGTCCCGCCATCCGGTCTTGCCATTTTTTGGAAGTCATGCCTACATCTTATCCGGCTGAGGTATAATGGTTCTTCGCACTGCTCGCACTTACGAGTTAGTAAAACTTACAAAGGACGTAATAGTCATGTGGCATAGGAATGGTTGTGGCCGTTCCCTCTTCTTTTAAATGCTCGTCGTGCGGGCAGGATCGATTATGCTGTTCGAGTCTTGGCTGGGGCTGCTCGCAGTAGAAAGCTCATTCTTCAATTTCGACTGCCTCGAACAAGTCACTCCAGCTCCAGCACCTATATCTCAACCAAGATGATGATCAGCAAGACGATATGTGCACTGTGTGTGGCGGCTGTGGCGTTATCGGGTGGTGCAGTGGATGCGACGACGGAGGCGGCGGAGACGTTTGGCTGGCTGTTGCCGAAGAGCCACGGCACCTATGGCGGCTACGGAGATACTAGTGCCGGCACAAATGGAAATGGAGGCACATCGGCAGGGACGACTGGATACGGCGGGCTGTCATGTGTGTTCTACAGGTACTAATCGGTCTCAAGGCAGGCGTTGGGCTCAATGCTGGTGCTGGTGGCTTCGGCGCTGCGGGCGTGGATCCCAACACAAATGCTGGTATCGGTGCAAATGGCTACGGTAATGCCAATACGAACGCTGGATTGATCGCCGGCGCCGGCCTCAATGCCAATGCAGGCCTCAAGGCAAACGCTGGACTCAACGCTGGTGCCGGTCATAATGCCGGTGCTGGTCTCTACGCGAACGCCGGACTCAACGTTGGTGCTGGTCTCAACAGCGGTGTGGGTCTTGATGCCAATGCAGTATTGAAGGCGGGCGCAGGAATCAAAGCTGGCGCCACTCTCAACGCGAACGCAGGCCTCAAGGCAAACGCTGAACTCATCACCGGAGGCGGTCTTTATGCCGGTGCCGGCCTCAACGCCGGTGTGGGCCTTAACGTCAATACAGGATTGAAGGTCGGCGCAGGAATCAAGGCTGGCGCTGGTCTTAGTGCCGATGCTGGTCTCAACACGAACGCAGGCACGAGTGTGAGCACCGGAAAGAAGGACAGTAACAGCGACTCGAAGGAAACGGGTGTCATCGCTTCGTCATCCCCAGAGAAAACAGCCAAACAAGCGTCGCAGAAGGCTGCTCAGACGTCCACCAAGTCCGGCACATACCGCCGCCACCTACGCGCGTATTTTTTTCCTTCTTTGGCGCTGAGATCATACATGTAATAATGGATATTATCTAAGTCCATGCATTAATTCATGGACCGGATGCAACAAAATTGCTCAGTACTTTTAAGGAGCGGTACCTGTATGTTGTAGAATACGGAAATTGTCAAAAGAAGCTGCCGTCGGAGAACCCAAATCAAAATTGATTGGTCTTTTATCTTTTTAACAAATCGCGATCCATCAATTTCTAGCCAATCGACATCCGTCTCAGCCCTAAACTAAAACGTAGCATCGACTGGTGCAGACACTTCAAAAGCATCGCAAGGGAAGTCGGGGTGTGTGTCCGTTGCGCTTCTTCTTCCGCTCTCTGTCATGGCTCCAGCGAAACGCAGACGTGGCACCGCAGTTACCAAGAAGAACGACTCTGATGTGCCTTCTAAAGCCTCCGAGGCAACGGAACAGAACGGCGTCGAGCCTGCTTCTGACAGCGATGCACAGGCGATCACTCTCGCGCGACTCAAAGCCGAGTACGGGCCAATCATCAAGGAGCTGGGGGGGCGATTCAGCTTCATCCGCGCGTTGCTGATCGAGTTCTGGCCCGAGATGCAGCGAGACCCACGCGACGAGACGCAGCTGCCCGTGGAGGGCGACGCGCAGTGGTTCTGGTTCACCGAGATGCAGTTTATGGTGATTTTCCTGTACGAAATCGCCTTTATGGAGTTCTCGATGAGCGTAACCAAACCAGACTCCATCACACTGGAGCAACAGCAGGAAAAGACGACGCTGGCTCATCGTCAGGACATGGAGGAGCGCGTCAACTTTCTATCGAGGCTCAGGAAGTACGCGGACGACCTGGCCAAGTGCCGCTTGGCAGCTACCAAGCAGACCGGCAAGAGATTGCCCCGTGTCTTCCGCCTCGCCGACATGTACAAGCTCTCGACTGGCGAGACGACGCTGCTGCAGCTGCTCGTGGTGATGCAGGGCTGTCAGAGCAATGCTGTGCGCTGTCAGATCTTGGACGAGGACGCGCAGCGGAGAGTTATGACGTGTCAGAGGCTGTCGGGCCTGTCTGAAGTGGACATCGCAGAGTTCCGGGACGACGAACGCGAGCACGTGAAGGAAGGCACTTTGCTGGTAGACGAGGAGACGTACTGTACGAGTCTCAGTCTGTCGAATATCTGCGTGCGGGTGCTGCTGGGGCGACAGTTGACGAGCAATCAGGCGCTGAAAGTGAGTCAGACGGCGCTGGAGGAGCTGCTCAAGGGCGAGGGAATGTCTTTTGGTGAGGTGCTGGACACGAGCAACACGTCGGGGACTGGAGTGTCGAGTGTCACTGGACACAAACGCGATCGTGGCGATAAAGTAGACGAGGAACAGGAAGAGGAGCAGGCTGAACAGCACGCGAGCAGCGAGAGTGAGGAGGAGCACGAAGATCAGGAAGACATCAGTGCGTCTGCGTTCTCGTTCATTGGCAAGTACAAGTCGGACAGCAAACGTACGAAGCATCAAGCGAAGGAGGATGAAAAATTGCTGCTCAAGGCGGCTGAAGCTGGCAGTGACAAGCACCATTTGCTGTCTTCGCTCATGGACTCGAGCGAACTGAAGCCGTACAGTCCCGAGAACCAGCTGGAGTATCTAGAGGATCGATTCCAGGTTGTGGCGTTTGCGATCCGTGCGTCGGGCGCGCGGGTGAAGGACCAGATGAAGGAGGCAGGCACGAAACAGCCCTGGGAATCGTCGGCGCCGGCGTCTGCTGGTCGACGCGAGCTCAAGGCCAAGCAGCGCGTGTACAGCCGTCGAGCGCAGCACCGGTTGGCTCTGACGCGACAAGCAGGTCGCTCGCTGCCGCGTCTGGAAGAACTGGCAGCCAAATTCAAGCTGAACCGCTTCGAGCAGAACGTGATCGTGATGCTCATTGGCAAGACCATCTCTCCGGTCATTAAGAACCTCATCGACGGTGTGGACACGTCGCCCGTGCAGCGGATGGACGAGAGCGTGATCATCAACCAGATCCTGTCCATCTTCTGTGAGACTTTCCAGGAGCAAGTGGCGCACCGAGTTTTCTTCTACAAGTCGTCGCGTCTACTTAGTCGCGGCCTCGTGAAGCTTCACAGAGGACGATGGCACTCGACCGCGGGCGATCTCGTGGACCAGCGCGTGGAGCTGGACCGTCGTGTGCTGGACTGGGTCGTTGGGCTTGATACCGAGATGAATGAGCTGGTGGAAGGCTCGGATCTGTACACGCCAAAGGTGCAGCTGGACCAGGTTGTGCTGCCTGAAGAGCACAAGAGCACGATCTTAGAGACGGTGGAGAGCTACGAGAGCTTCCGGAGGTACCGCAAGAAGAGCGGGTTGGAGCAGGCTGGCATGGCGTATGGAGCTGGCCTCGTGTTGCTGCTGTGTGGCGCCAGCGGAACGGGCAAGACGATGACGGTGAACGCTGTGGCTCACCACCTGAAGAAGCGAGTACTGCTAGTGGACTTCCCGTCGCTGCAGGGAAAACGTCAGGAAGGCATGGAGACTGACGCCGACTTGCGCGGTCTCTTCCGTGAAGCGGACATGAGCAACGCTGTGCTCTTCTTTGACGAGTGTGAGAACATCTTCCGACAACGCGACGGCGGAGGCGACCGCCTCTTGAATGCGCTGCTGACGGAGATTGAGCGCTACGAAGGCATCGTGTTCCTTGCGACCAACCGGCCGTTCGACCTGGACGAGGCCATGCATCGACGCATCACTGCCGTGTTCGAGTTCAAGGCGCCCGACCACATCCAGCGACGCAAGATCTGGGACGTGTTACTGCTGCGTGGCACTCTGAAGACCGAGGAAGGGATCGACTGGGACGCCATCGCTCTGAAGTACGAGCTCAGTGGCGGCTTCATCAAGAACGCCATCTTGTCGTCGCTTCTGAAGGCCATTTCACGGAACGGCGAGGCGCCCGTAATCTCCCAAGCGGACATCGTCGCGGGCTGCGCGCTGCAGATGCGTGGCAGTCTACACATGAAGACATTCGATCACCGAGTTGTGCCCACGAGCGGGCTGGACGAGCTGATCGTTGAGGACGCGGTCAAGGGCAAACTGCGCCGAGTCGTGCAGTTTGAGAAGGCGCGCAGTGTCATCTACGGCCAGTGGGGCTTTGACTTTGGGCAGTCCAACAAGCAGCAGAAAGGGGTGAGCGTGCTGATCTGCGGCCCTGCAGGGATCGGCAAGCTGAATGCAGCCAAGGCGATCGGCTTCGAGATCGGTCGCCCCCTCAAGGTCGTCAACTTCGGCCAGCTGGCAGCAGACTCGGCTGCGGAGACGCGCAAGGCGCTTCGTGCTGTGTTCGACGACGCTCGGCTGATGGACGCAGTGCTGGTGCTCACGGGCTTCGAGTCGTTCGGCAGTCACATTGAAGGAGGCGTCATCCCCCTCGACAGTCTCGAGTCCTCGCCTCGCTTCCGCATGGAGGTGATGCGCCTGCTGGAGCTCATGGATACATTCCCGAGCACCACCATCTTGCTGGCGAATGTGGACCGAACGGCCGCGGCGTCTCTGGTGCAGTCCGAGTTCTGTCGTCGGCTCAAGTTTGTGGTCGAGATGAGGAATCCGAACGCCAAGCTGCGGGAGAAGCTGTGGCGCGCGTGTTTCCCGCCCAACGCGCCGCTGGACACCAAGACGCCGATCGATTTCCAGCGTCTGGCGGAGCGCTATGATCTGAGCAACACGTCGATTAGTGACGCCGTGTTCCGAGCTGCTGCCAGTGCCGCTCTGCGTCAAGAGAGCAAGCGCATTATCACAATGAAGGACTTGACGGATGCAGCTGAGATCGAGCGGCAAAAAGCTCGAGGGGGCGCTGCTGCTATGGAGAATCTCTTCGTCTAAGTAAAAGCAGATCTTATGTATGGGAAAGGTGGTTAACAGAGCGATAGAAGGTTGGAGACGGTAGGGGGTTTAACGCGGCATCTCCTTCATTCCCTTCAGTTGGTTCTCTGGTCCTGCTATTTACCTTCCTTCGTCCCTCACAGATTTTTTTTATGACGTTAGCCGAGTCTGTTGCTCTAGATGGAGAAGGGCAAGTCCTCGCCACTGGTAAATTCCCGCACCACTTCGTTCTCTGTGATGGTCACGGTGCGAATGACGCCACCGGAGCTGCCGTCGCGCGCCATGGCGTGTGCCAGCGCCTTCTTAACAAACCTCTGGCATTCCTCCTTCGTCATGTTCGGCCTACACGACAGCAAAAAGCGTTAGCTCACATAGTATTCCCCGCCCCCAGTTCACTTGCTGTGTGACTCACCGATATTCCGAGTCCACCAGGCCGTAAATGTACGTAGAGCCGCTGCCGCCAATTGCAAAGTCCTGCTCCACCATGGCTCCACCGATGGGGATCGAGAAAACCTGGCCGCCCTTCACCGGGTCCCAACCGGCCACGATGATTCCAGCCAGCAGGCGGTCCTTGTTGTGGTAGCACAGCGAGCGGAACAAGTTGGCGGCTGTTCCCACCTTCGGCAGACGGCCCAGCTCCACACTGTGAGAGCTCAGATAGTAGCGAACGTAGTCGCTCAGCGCTTGCGTGTCTGCTGCCGAGCCCGAGCGACAACAGAACAGTCGGTCGTGTAGTGGCGTGAGCTTGTCACTCACGCGGTTGGCCACGTATGTGCCCGTGGACGTGCGCGAGTCGGCGCCCAGCACAACGCCTCCATTGAAGCGCACAGCGATGATAGACGTGCCGGCATCCACCTCGCCGGGCTTAAGGTATGAGCCTTCGTCCACTTCCTGCTTGGTCATATTGGATCCTTCCTTTTCTCTGTTTTGAATAGGGGGAAAACCTGAAGATTGTATGGAGGGTTTTATGTTGCACGATCTTTTGATTGAGAATAAGTTGCACATGTTGTGGACCACAATTTGCCTGCCGTAATGCATATATTTTAAATCTAGGATCAAGCATTAACTTCAACATGACCGCTTACTTGGGCGGATGCGTGAGCGGCTTGAACGGCGTCGTGATGACGGTGATAGCGGCGGTGCGAGCTACAAAATCGCGTTCAGTGGTCGATAGGAAGGGGTTGACGTTGTTGTACTTCGCGTTGCCGTGTTCTTCGGCCACTTGCACCATCTTGTAGACGTGTTCGTCAGGGAAACCAGGCAGAGCAAGGGCCTTCTCACGCAGCTGCGGCCAGGACGGGAGCGCAGCGAGGCGAGCTTCGAGGTCGTCGGATGGACTGCAGATATCTTCCTCACGGAAGTCACGGGACTGAGAGGTCACCAGCGCCGACAGCGCTACGTGTAACCACACTCGCCAAGCTTTCGCCTTATCGGACGGTGACAGCAGGTGTTCCAGTTGCTGGAGCGACCAGGCCGACGTGGCGGCGTGGAGGATAATAAAGTCGTTGTGCTTGAGCATGACATACAACCACATGACCATATCGAGCGCGTGGCTGCCATCGAAGTTCGAGAAGTCAAACGCATTGACCTGAGTCCAGATGAGAGCAAAAGCCTTAGGACTGCTGCGTTCCGGGTGCCCCGAGAATACGTTGACACCGCGCTGGACCCAGCCGATGTCGAGGTCCTTGACCGGTGAGATCGCCACGAGTCGGTCCTGTTCGGACCGTAAGAACTCGTTGCTGGCGACTGCGTCAGCGACTTCGAATACCGTTTGGCGGGTGAATTGGCGCAGTGGCTCATTACTCTGCGGCATCTCCGGCTCGTCAAATGGCAAGTAACAGTGGTGCTGGTAGGCGAGTCCTTCAGCAACAGGACGGTCACCGCCGATGTGGTACGCATAGCCTAGCTGGATGATACCGTGCAGCAGAGCGCCGGCCAAGCCGCTGAAGAGGTTAGGCAGATGCTTGCACACTGCTCCATCAACTCCGAGTTGCTTGACATCCTGAGCATAGTAAGCAAGTAGAGCGTCGTACTGCTGGCGTTTACCCAGCAACGCTTGAGCTTCTTCATCGGAAAGGACAACGAGCGTTGCAACGTGCTCAACGACGTCTTCGTGGTCAGGGCCCTCGGCTTCGAGTTTTTGAGTGTAGTGCGCGGCGTACTCCGCAATCTTCTGCTCACTCGCGCCAAGCTCATGCAGCGCCACGACCGCGTGCAGCAGGTGGTTGGACAGGTAGTTGCCGTACTCGATTCGGAAGCGGAGGGTCGAGTGCTCGCGCGTCAAGGTTTGGCGAACTTGCTCAGCTGGTAGCTTAGTTTGAAAGGAGCTAGCGATGGCAGCATCGGAGACCGAGGACGTGGCCATAGTTGCAAGTGGAGAGTTGGAGTTGATGTGGGATGCGCTGTAGCAGCCAAGTTGAAAAATGACTAACGGGTTAAGCGAAAACAAGAGCAAAGTTCACTTGCATAGATTCGGGTGGTCGGACTCGGTGCGGTCGGACATTGGTGTTCGTGGTGACTCACTGAGCGTCCACACCATCCAAAATCTACAATGTAGACGACTTGGCGCAAAACAGAGCAAACTTCAACAAACTACAAACTTCAACTTTATCTTTTACAATAATCCAGTGCCACTAAGACAACTATTCAGTGACTGTTGACTTACTATAGAAGGCGGAGGGGCTTACTCAACGACATCACCCGGTCGAGCGAGCCACAACGCTGAACAATTTCGCAAGTTACTACCGTCGACTGGGCAAACTTCACTCCGCAATGACCAGTCTGAAACATGCGTTGGACGTGGAGAAAAAACTGAAGAACGTTCGCAACGCTGCAGATACGCAGTTAAACATGTGCGCCGTTCTATCGCAGCTGAGGAAACATCAAGAAGCTCTGGGGCATGCGCTAGATGCACTTATTACTCTGCAGGAAGGATTTACCCACGGCAAACACGATGCATCTGCTGATAATTCTGTTGGTGACTCATCATCCGCAAGATTTGATCGAATCTCCGTCATGTGCATAGCGTGTCACTACATTCGTGTCGAGCACGAGTTTCTCAAGGATTATTCTGAATCCGTCGTAAGTTACAAGAAGGTAAGGCTAGGATTGCGCAGTGTGAACGGGAACCATAATCACGAGTTTTCTACAGAAAAAGTTGCACTCGCTGTGGACCACCTGTAGCCTAACGTAATGCATATTTTAGAGCTAAGATCAAGCATTAGCTTCAACTTGTCCGTTTGATGCGTGAGCGGGTCGTGATGACGGTGATAGCGGCGGTGCGAGCTACAAAATCGCGTTCAGTGGTCGATAGGAAGGAGTTGACGTTGTTGTACTTCGCGTTGCCGTGTTCTTCGGCCACTTGCACCATCTTGTAGACGTGTTCGTCAGGGAAACCAGGCAGAGCAAGGGCCTTCTCACGCAGCTGCGGCCAGGACGGGAGCGCAGCAAGGCGAGCTTCGAGGTCGTCGGATGGACTGCAGACATCTTCCTCACGGAAGTCACGGGACTGAGAGGTCACCAGCGCCGACAGCGCTACGTGTAACCACACTCGCCAAGCTTTCGCCTTATCGGACGGTGACAGCAGGTGTTCCAGTTGCTGGAGCGACCAGGCCGACGTGGCGGCGTGGAGGATAATAAAGTCGTTGTGCTTGAGCATGACATACAACCACATGACCATATCGAGCGCGTGGCTGCCATCGAAGTTCGAGAAGTCAAACGCATTGACCTGAGTCCAGATGAGAGCAAAAGCCTTAGGACTGTTGCGTTCCGGGTGCCCCGAGAATACGTTGACACCACGCTGGACCCAGCCGATGTCGAGGTCCTTGACCGGTGAGATCGCCACGAGTCGGTCCTGTTCGGACCGTAAGAACTCGTTGCTGGCGACTGCGTCAGCGACTTCGAATACCGTTTGGCGGGTGAATTGGCGCAGTGGCTCATTACTCTGCGGCATCTCCGGCTCGTCAAATGGCAAGTAACAGTGGTGCTGGTAGGCGAGTCCTTCAGCAACAGGACGGTCACCGCCGATGTGGTACGCATAGCCTAGCTGGATGATACCGTGCAGCAGAGCGCCGGCCAAGCCGCTGAAGGGTTACCTCCGGTTGGGGTCATATACGGTACAGATCAGTTATTGGATCAGATATTCTTACTCTAATGGTGATCAGGTAGCTCATTAAGATTAAGCAGTGTGTATCAATATCTCCTGGTTAGATATAACTACGACGAAACTACCTACTGACTATTGCTCTTCCTCATTCACCTCGCCTAGACCATCTTCGGCTTCCGAAGAGCTGTCGGATGCCAGCTCAACTGCTGGAGGTTCCTCGTCCTCAGAATCATCAGCAATGTCATCCGGTATTTCAACGGGCGCCGGTAGCTGTATGCGCTCGCGTGGTAAGCGGCGTGCCCGTCCGCGCGGAACATCAGCAAGGCGTTGAACATACTGCGTTGATAGTGTCTTGATGACACTAACGAAAGACGTCATACTAGGGCGGGGCTTAGGGAAATGGCTATTGAGCTCCCTGTTAAACCTCTCTAAAGGGTTATTTGTCCGTGCGATGAGCTCGTTGCTTAGGCCGGCAACATTCCATACGCTCACGTCGTACGTTTTCAGCCACGTCCGATTAAAGTACCCCCAGAATCCTCGCCACTTCGCTTTAGAGTAGGAAATTCCGACCACGCCACAGCGCTGGCGGATTTCACGCTTCACCCACTTGATAGCACGCTCCATTAAGCAGTGCTCAACAATGGTAAGCATGTCGACGACACCGCGGGTCATAGCAATACAACACTCCTCCTCCGGAATCAGAAACCGCTTCATAGCTCGCCTCAGAGCCTGCTTGAGATGAAATAGGCAGCCTAGGACAATTGCATTTGGAAATTGAGTCTGCACAGCATCAATCAGCGCGATCTCGAAGTCGCACACGACTTCGGCGGGCTCCAGTTGCTGGTCGGTACCTTGTACCACGAAATGTATCATGTCCCAAAAGGCATCACCACTACGAGAGGTGCTCAATACGTAGTAAACAGGTACAAACAGCCCCGAAGCTCTATCATGTACCATGAAAATGACACACTGTTTGTAGCCGGGTGGTACACAGCGGAATGTACCATCAATAAAAATCGTAGTTCCATTGTAGCGGAGAAGGTTGACGAGGTTTGGGTGCGCCCAGCCGATCAGCCGAGTAGGCTTGTTAAGGTTCTCGCGGTTGATAGTGACGTAATGAAACTGAAAGAACGAAACCGTTGCGTCCAACGCCAATGATAGAGGCGGGATTTCGATCGCTCCGTGTACATCTCCACTGAAATGCCTACTGCGTGCCTGATAAACACGTCGAAGCACTTGGGCCTCCGACAGCCCGCGCACAACGTGTTCATTGTCTGCGCCGTAAAATTCGTTGCGCAGCGCTTCCCAAATACGCCGCGCAGGAAGCGCAACCTGGTCGATAGCGAGCATGTCTGCCCTGTCCTTCATCGCTCCCGTGACATCAGCAAGGCTACTGCCAGCAGCATCAACGCGGCGACAGGTGTGGGGGCGCCCAACTGTGTAGCCCATTGTACCAATGAAGAATGCCATCGTACCAAGACAGCCTTAGCGCCAATGGCAGCAACGGTATGATATCTTTCTCGACGATGCCCACGCCCTAGTATACTTGAAGCCGCGAAAATAGCACGTGGTCTTCTCCTGGCGCACTTGGCCTCTGGGACGGCTTGACACAACGTTGGTCACCCCAGCGCCGTCTGGAGGTTCATTGTTCCCCGGGGGAGACTGTGCAGGTGCCTGCATGTTACCGAATGAGCTCTTCTTCACAGGTGCCTCGCAGGGATCCCCGCTCTACGTGGCCTCTTTAAGGCCGTGAATTTTCAGATCTCGCATCAGATCATTGCGAAATCAACATATGTACAAAACTCTGATCTGTACCGTATATGACCCCAACCAGGTTTTACCCGCTGAAGAGGTTAGGCAGATGCTTGCACCAACTCCGAGTTGCTTGACATCCTGAGCATAGTAAGCAAGTAGAGCGTCGTACTGCTGGCGTTTGCCCAGCAACGCTTGAGCTTCTTCATCGGAAAGGACAACGAGCGTTGCAACGTGCTCAACGACGTCTTCGTGGTCAGGGCCCTCGGCTTCGAGTTTTTGAGTGTAGTGCGCGGCGTACTCCGCGATCTTTTGCTCACTCGCGCCAAGCTCATGCAGCGCCACGACCGCGTGCAGCAGGTGGTTGGACAGGTAGTTGCCGTACTCGATTCGGAAGCGGAGGGTCGAGTACTCGCGCGTCAAGGTTTGGCGAACTTGCTCAGCTGGTAGCTTAGTTTGAAAGGAGCTAGCGATGGCAGCATCGGAGACCGAGGACGTGGCCGTAGTTGCAAGTGGAAGGTTGGAGTTGATGTGGGATGCGCTGTAGCAGCCAAGTTGAAAAATGACTAACGGGTTAAGCGAAAACAAGAGCAAAGTTCACCTCATTTAAGTTGCATCGATTCGGGTGGTCGGACTCGGTGCGGTCGGACATTGGTGTTCGTGGTGACTCACTGAGCGTCCACACCATCCAAAATCTACAATGTAGACGACTTGGCGCAAAACAGAACAAACTACAAACTTCAACTTTATCTTTTACAATAATCCAGTGCCACCACGGTAAATTTAGATGTTGTTTCACGTTATCAATATTACCAAGCAAATTGGTGATCACATTTAGGATTTATGCGCGACAAGGCGTTGAGAGATGCTAGAGAAGAGCAACAGGAGCTAGAAGCTCTGCATCGCTTTGACGAGGAGTGCGTTCACCAGCAGCGAGCCGTAGGTTTTATGGGTGGAGCTATCATAGTGTGTCGTGTCCCTGTTCTGACACGTTCAATTGACGCAGGGAGATTATTTGAAGGCGTTCGACTGCATGGAGCGAGCTCTTGTTCTGCGGCGGCACTTCTTCGGTATCGAAAGTGAGGAGGTTGTACAGGCTTGTCGAGCACTTGCTGAGATGTGCAACCTCTTGGCTATGAGCTTTTTGCAGCAAGACAACTATCCAGTGACTGTCGACTTACTAAAGAAGGCGGAGGTGCTTACTCAACGACATCACCCGGTCGAGCGAGCCACAACGCTGAACAATTTCGCATGTTACTACCGTCGACTGGGCAAACTTCACTCCGCAATGACCAGTCTGAAACATGCGTTGGACGTGGAGAAAAAACTGAAGAACGTTCGCAACGCTGCAGATACGCAGTTAAACATGTGCGCCGTTCTATCGCAGCTGGGGAAACATCAAGAAGCTCTGGGGCATGCGCTAGATGCACTTATTACTCTGCAGGAAGGATTTATCCACGGCAAACACGATGCATCTGCTGATAATTCTGTTGGTGACTCATCATCCGCAAGATTTGATCGAATCTCCGTCATGTGCATAGCGTATCACAACATTGGCGTGGAGCAAGAGTTTCTCAAGGATTACTCTGAATCTGTCGCAAGTTACAAGAAGGTAAGGGTAGGATTGCGCAGTGTGTTCGGGAACCATAATCAATGTGCATTTTTTCTGTTCATGTGTCAGGGAATAAGTTTAGCCGAGCAATATCTTGGTGCTGATCATTCGATCACAACCACCATTCGGAACTCGTACCTAGCCGCGAAGCGAGTGTTGGCCACGAAGGGGAAAGTGAAGACTAGTGCAAGTAACCGCGATCCAAAGAGTCCTATAGCTGGTGCAAGGCTCTTGTCGAGTCCTCGAAGTGATTCTCTTCGAATGCCAAGTCCTCTGGCAAAGGGAAAAGATCTTCACAATAGGTTCCCAACACCACGGTCCATCATTACAGACGCTTTATCAAGAGATCCTCTATTAGCACTGCCACCGCTTGAGCTTCAGAGTCCTCCTACCGGTTGTGCAAGCAAGACGAAGAAATCGACAGTAAGTTTACCAAGCGAAGTCAAGAGTACGCTGTCCCCGACAGATCCTTTTTTCAGCCCTCGCTTTAGATTCGACAGCGATACGGCTCAGCAAAAACCACTTAAGAGCGTCACGAAACCTCCGTCAGCAGCTCCAACTAAAAAAAATAAAGTGGGAGTACGAACGTCATCATCACACAGCGGTAGGAGGAAGAGCAGCGTGAAGAAACCTCCCTCGCGAACTGAAACCAGTCGAAGTGACAGGAAAAAATCAGTTGACGAACGCATCAAGACAGCGTCAACACCTCGAGCGACTGAGGAGGACACTAATGCGAAGGGAATTATATCGAATTGCCCTATCGATGGTGCTAGCGGTGAAGTGGGAGATAGCAGTATTACCAGGACTCTTCGGAAGCGAGCGTGGCAGACGAAGCTACAGGTGTAATACAGGATAACTCCAATCTCCGCGCTCCGAGTGTGTCTATTGCCGTCACAACTGAAGCGCATGGGCATTTTACAGCAGACAAGATTAGCTCTGTGGATCACGTAGTGGACCGAACCGTTCCACCGTCACAGGCAGATTGTTCGGACGACACCAACCGTGACATTGCCGACACGGTCCTGGGCGAAGATGATGGAGAATTTTCAAAGGTGTCGACAGGTTCTATTGAAAAGATTACCGAGGCAGATCTTCGTTCTTCTACGATCGATGTCAGCCCAGAAGACATAAATACAGTCGTGGAGAAGCAGCATGATGCAATTGAAGATATCGCCTCGGGTGAACGTCCTGATACTGGGATCGTGAATAACGATGACAGTACGGGGTCAGGCAACGGCGCAGTCAACGCAAGTCAAAACCATGAAACACTACAAACAAATACCTCGGAAGACTTGGTCAATGACAAACTCACAGTTGCACCCGACCATAGTGAGGAATTCTGTGATACGGCGGGTGGAGAGCAGTCTCACCAATTCATAGAAGATGATAGACGTGACGCCAACGCCGAAGTCAGTGTCGACTTAAGTGATCAAGGTGTAGATGAAGAAGCAATGCATGCAGGCAGTCCAGCTGATGAACCGATTGCCACCCTCGAGGACGGGAATCTTCACTGCTCTGAAGAAACTTCAGATGACGAGCATCCACAAATCTACGATAGCGAGGTGCAAGGCGAGACAGAAAGCACCCTCGCAGACGAAATCCCTGGAACTCACAACTTAATTGAGGAGGCATGGGAAACAAATCCAGAGGCAACGACGATAAGCCATGCAGGGGGGGAAGCTGACGAGTTAAGTGTGTTATCAGATGACCAGCCTCTTTTATTCAAGTCTGGTGTGGGTAGCGTCGACAGTGTTACTGAGGACGGTCTTGACGTTATTTCGGTCAACGATACCGACACCAACGAGGCTGCCGTTTATGTACTAGAACCACCATCTAAAGATCACTATGCTTTAATCGCGGAAGACCAAATGAACTCAGGGTTCGAAGCACAAGAACATTTTCCCGATCAAGAAGCGAAGGAGCCGCAGTCATTTGATGATGCAGATGAAGTTGCAGCTACTGCGACTTACCAGGAGGCACACGAGCGCCATCTAACTTCTGACGATCATCTGTTAAGAGAGGAGATACATCCCACCATTGAAACTTACGACGCTGGAGGTTATAACGATGAAAACGATGCTCAAACTGCAGTCGAAACTCTAGAAAATGCAAGCGAAGGTAATGAACCAGGAGCGGTTAGTGCAGAGCATCAACCATTGGGTCAGGAGTTTGTCAATCCAAGTGAGCAAGTGTCTGATAGCAGCAACCAACAACAAGGTTTCGACGACATGGAGATCCCACGTGCAAGTCAAGCGCAAGGTGAGTCTGTTGTAGCAGAGTATGCAGCGGAATACGGCGATTACTCCTATCAAGACGCCCCAGTAACGTGGCAAGAAGAGCAACAGGTTTGTGTCGACTACGATGACAGCGTGCCCACAGGTGAAGCTTCTGATCTTCCTACCGACATCGACATGAGTGCAAGCGCAGTCGACGTTGTCAATGCTGTAGATACTGAGTGAGTACTCAGTGAGTGAGATCGCCTACTTAATTTACAAACGACTAGTGAAAGATCGGACGTTTGTGCAATTTTTGATTTCTATATCGGAGTCCATCACATGCGAAACAGTTCGTGCCGCAGCCTGGAGAGAGTGGTAAGAAGCAATTGCCTCAAGTCCGAGTTTGTCACACACTCGACGTCTTCTTCCGTGAGGAACACGATGCTGCTGAGCGTCCGGTATCCACGTCGCTCCAAGGCAACCCCAAACGCAGTCAAGTCTGGGTGACACGCAGTCATCCACTGGATCACTTCGCCTTGCTCGCACACTGAAGGAAATGCCAATTGTCAATGTACCTCAGATGAAAAATGCACCCACAGAACGCTAGAAACGCACCCATGCTGAAGATGGTGGCGCTCTCCTGGGCGTCTGACAAGCGTCTCCTGACCCGCGGACTTGCTCCACCCTCCTCCTCAAGGCGAGACGCTTGCTTCTTCTGCTGCTGCACCTGTGGGTCCACATCGATCGCCACCCTGCGCTCCGGTTTCACAGGCACCGTAGCTCGCGGCGCAGCCCTCGGTGACATCGGAACAGTCTTCATCGTCTGCGTGGAGGCCATTTTACCCCACAATAGTCTTCTACTACTGCATCGTCTCATCCTGCCCAAAACGACACCCCGTCCTCTAACCTCTAATTATAAATAATACACAGCACTAAAGCAACCCAAATACCAGACGACTGAACTCCGATCTCAAGCCACAAAATGAAAATACATCGCATTGCAGGCGACCCCGCCCGGTCTTCTCGCACTCTATCCGCGCATCCGAGCGAGCGCTCTCCTCTCTCTCCACCCTAGCTACAAACTAGCAGCAGCGACTGACAGCAAGGCGGAAGAGGTACAGTCCCTTCCTCGTCTGTTCTTGGACTGCAAGGCAGCTCTAGGCCGCCGCAGCAACCAACGTCTGTCGTCTGTGTGTCTTTCTCTGTTGCCTGCCTTAGATGTCGTCGAAGTCGAAGCCAATGTCGTCCTCGCCGTCGCCCTCCATGGCCATGTCCACTGCCGTTTCGTTGATACGCGCGTTATCCGGAAGCTCTCCGTAAGCCTTGAGACTGCGGGCCTCGTCCGCGTTGTATTTATGAATGATGTCCACCTTGCCGTCCTGGTACTCGCGCAGACTCACGAGAATGATGTCACCGGCGCCGACCCAGACTTTTTTGCGCATTTTGCCGCGGATGTGGCCAAGGCGCGTCACACCGTCGAAGCAGTAAGCCTCCAGACGGCCGTTTCCCAGCATTCGTACAACCTGCGCATATTCTGTGGGGAAAGTATACATGTATACATTAGATGGACCCACTCATGTGTATACATCAACGTCGCTCGACATTTCGAGCGACGTTTAAGCGGCACGACAACGCACCCTGGCCCTCTTCCTTGAACTCAAGCTCGCGCTTGTTCTCCTCGTTGTCGTTCTTTCCGCGGCGGCGGTTCTTGCCTCCCTTTCCTTTGTTCTTCGGCATCTTCGTTCCTTCGCTGTCGAATCCCTGACTGAGGTGGCAGCTATCTTCGGGTGGTTCGCACGCAAGGCACTTGGACCAATCACGTTCCTTAAATTAAAATTCTGCCAATCCCATCGCCGTATTGGGAACCTATCCCTCTTCTTTACCTCTGTCTAGTTTAATAGATTTGACATAATTGAGAACTCAATGGCTAGAAATGCAACTTCTGACACCCTTGAAGATTCTTTCATGTGCGCACTCGCAGCGCGATCCTTGCTCGTCTGTCTTGAGCGCTATCTCTACTAGGTATTTGAGCTCCCGCTGGTTGTCCTCGATCCCACTGACATCATCATACTTTCCTTCATCAGATGGCGTCTCCCACGCCTTCACCCGTGCCGTGGCGGCGTCGCGAGGTATTGTCGCGTTCTAACTCGCGACCTCCGAACTACCCTCTGCGTCGCTCCGTGGATGCCAGCGTCGGGTACAGCACATTTCGCAGCAGCTCTAGCAACTTATCGAGTATAGCGTCGTCGTATCCTGTGCTGGGGCTGTCTACGCTGGCGGCTCGTCAGCGGCTGCTCCAAGCCATCGAGCGCAAGATCCGCGAGAAAGAGAGCTCGTCCAACGTCACAACCGAGTTCCGGGACCCTTTCTTCCTACTACTGGCACTGTGTGCCGCCTTCCGACTCACTGACGCAGCCAGACGCTTCGCTGAGATGGAGACGGATCGAGGCTCGGCTGCAGTGGCGGAAGGAGTCTTCCTGGTGGCCGCAGCAGCTAGCAACGTGCTGCTCAACATGGTGCAGAAGCGTCGACACCATGCAGAGATGGCTGAGAGAGTCCGAGTGGCTGTACAGCAGATGCAGAGAGATAGCGACAAGAAGAAAGAGCGGGAAGAGGACCAGCGCCCACCCATTTGGCTGGGCGGCGGACCGGAGCCGACGGTGCTGCTGCCCTCGAACAGCTACGTCGCGTGTTATCGAGACAGTCAGTGGCAGCGGCTGCCTATGAATTTGCTGGTAGAAGGAGACGTCGTAGGCTTGATGAGTGGAGATATCGCCCCGGGAGAAGTGCGACCAGTGGAAGGGGATGGGAGCGAGGAGCAGCAAGTCTTTCCCAGAGGATGCAAGCTGCCGTCCTGGACGAGGAGACACGCGAAGGACACGACGAGATGCACAGCGACGTTTGATCCTCCCATGCTGCTGGATTTGTGCGGTGAGATGCGGATTTTTGAGATGCTGGAGACGCCTGTGGTCAGGGATATTGAAGACGCCTTGTTCCGCATAAACAGACCCGTGACGCCGACGCAGAAGCTTCAGGCACAAGCGAGACAGCTGGCCATTTCTATTTGCACCTTGTATTCCGTGTTGGTGCTCGTGGCGATCGGACTGCGTGTGGTGGTACAGCATCGATCGCTGGACACAACGCTTAGCCACATTTTGCTCGGACCTGTTGGGATTTGGCTGTGCTTTGCGTCGCTGAACACGCCACTGGTCTTGTTTATCGCGGAAGCCGCGGCTACTGCATCCATCTTAGGCTCATTCGACGACATCTTGGCACCGAAAGAAAGCATAAGCCAAGAGCAGGAGCAGAATGTGGGTGATGGGTCTAACGAGGAAGAAACGCCTGAAAAGTCTCCACCAAAAGCGAATACAGGCACGCCAAAGACGTCCAACAAAGACCCACGCCAAGACGAGCGTCTATCTGGTATCGATAGTGCGATGGCGTCGATCCTGAAAGCCACAGCGTTTGCACCGCCAGATGTCTTCGACGTTGAAGACCGTGAAAAGTTGCGCTCCGAGAAGGCTCAGAAGCAGTCGGCAACCATGCGATCGCTGCAGTACTTCCTCGTGGTGCTCCGATTCCGTGTCATGCACTGTGATGTTGCCCATGTATCTGACCGGCGGCATCTTCCTGTGCCATTTCGCTCGTTCCGCCTCCTGGAGCGCCTGGGAAACGTCACAATGTTGTGCTGCTTCGACGACGATATTTTATGCGAGCAAGCTCCGTCGGTGGAAGAGATTTTTCTTCTGAACGACAAACAGGGCAACAATTCCACAGTTCTGGACCTGCATGCGGAGCGTAATTGTGACACTGGACTACAGTTTGAAGATCCGAAGTGGAAGCAGCACCTGCCATCGCTAAAACCGATTGGCTTGGCTATAATGGTCAACGATGACGAGAATCCGGCGCGACACTACGAGGAGAACATGCGCTATCTTGTGAACGAAGGGCTTTGTCCTGTGGATGATGGTGATACGAGGGACCCATACTTGCGGAGCTGTATGCAGCGACTGTCAGCTCACATTCGGATGCTGCCCTTTCCGAAGCATTTGCTGAATCTCTCTCGTGAAATGGGCTTCTCCGTGGCTGATGATCTGACGGCGTTCCAGAGAAGACAGTCCATTCATATTATCTGCCCTCGACTGGCGCACCACGAACACACAAACGATCACCACGACCAGGGCCAGGAAGATACGCGATACCGGGGGAATCTCAAGTCGCATCTCTACTCAACGGTGGTGCTTGACAAGCGCTCGCACCATCACCAGTTACTGTCACGTGGCCATCCTACCGTCGTGTTGGCTCACTGCAGCGAGTACTGGGATGGCAAGTCTATCTGTCCGCTCACGAGTGAAAAACAACGCACCATTCTGGACATGTACAACCAGTGGCGTGTGGAGGATTTGGACTGCATCGCGTTTTCCTACGTCCCCGTCCCTCACAAGCTCAATAGTCTCTTCAGTCGTACTGGCTCTAGCAGCAACGGAGGGAGCTTTGTCGACTCGCCAAACACTGGACCGACCCGCAGATTGGGTGGCACTCTACCGCCAGTGTATCTCGTGGACGACAGCGCGGCCAGTGAATTGAACTCCCCGCACTCCGTTGCTCCGCGGAACAGCATGCCGTTTTCAAGCAGCATGAGTGAAGATCAAGGAATTGGGCGAGAGACCAGACGCATGAGTTATTCGGGTCCGTTATCACCGCTGGCCTCCCCAGACTCCGTGGACGACATGTCGCTAGACCAAGAATCGATCTCTGGAGTACGAGCAGCCAAGTCCGCTGGGGCTCCTCCAAGCGGGCAAATCACTCCACCTTCGAAAAGACGTGGAAACCTCACAATCAGCGACCTAGAGTCGTCTGTGGAGCTGCATCCATCCGAAACAAGCTCTGTTGAGAAGGATTCCATGCTCTGGCGTATTCAGGATGACCAGATCTTCTTGGGAATGGTCGCGACTGGCGTCCAACCGAAGCAGCACACGCCTGACTTTATCGAAGACCTGAACGCGTGTGGGATTCGCTTCGTGTACTTCTCGCCGCGTAACATGCGCAGGAGCAAACTACTCGCCGAGAAAATGGGAATCGAGACGGACTGGAATTGTGCAATCTCGTTGCGCCCGCTGGAAAGCGACGGCCCAGACCCTCATCGCATGACATCGAACTACTCGGATTGGGACGTGAAGGCTCGACTGCCGCACGGAGTCGAGGCGATAAAGCGGCATCTGGCTGAGGTGGATAATGTCCCGTTGCTGGTGTCACTTTACACGGACAGCACGCCGGACACGATCAGCGAGATGATCTCGATCTTTCAGGAGAATCACGAGGTTGTCATGGGCGTTGGCTCGTCACTAAAGGAAAGCAACGCGCCACTGTTCTCGAAGGCGGATTTGGCAGTAGCTTTGCAGGGTGGTGTCCACGCCTTCTTCGACAAGCCGATTCCGCACGGGAAGGAGCTCCCTGTGTTCTCTGACGAGGATGTCCAACTCAGTCACATTCTCAACACCCTGGCGTGTGCCTTTCGTCTCAAGAGTGCTCCGGATGACGCTAGCAGCCAAGACAAGGCACGCTCTGAGGCCACTGACGGCAAGGAAAAGGATGATGCAACTACGGATGGGACTGCGAGTGTCGCTCATTTAATTGAGCTCATCCGACTGGGACGACGAATGCTCACCAACTTCCATCAGATGAAAACGTTCATGTTCATCTCGCAGCTTTTCATCGCCACGATCATTCTCGCGTCCCACGCGATTCCGTTCCCGCACGTGCCGCAGCTTTCGTGCGCCTCCGTCTTCTGGCTGCTGTGGATTTTGGTGCCTGCCCTCGGTCTGTCCATGCTTGCGTCTGCAAGCGAGAAAGGCATCATGAAGAAGACTCCACGCAAGAACGAAGAGTTTGATACTGAAGAGGATCTGCCGCGGCTGGTCGCCTATTTTGTCGGGCGTCATGTGCCTTCCGTGCTGCTATCTATCGCCGTGTTCGAGTGCTTGCTGGGCTTTTCTCTGCAAGCATCGAACGCTGCTGATCCGAGCGCCTTTGGAGAAAATTTTCGCGAGTATCGATGGACGGATTTCGTACTAGACAGCGAGTTAGTGACGATGATGCCGAGACCAGCTGTCGTCTCGGCTGCGGTGGATCGCGCTGAAGCTGGGATGCTGCTGCTGATTGGCGTCTGCATCGTGACCTCATCTTGTGGATATCTGTATCGATGCGAGAGTATGTTTGAGCTTTCTCCCTTCCGAAACGTCATGTGGGTGGCGACAGCATGTCTTCTGCTGTGCTTCCAGTTTGCCCTGAGTATGCTCCGTGCGGGGATCGTTGGTGCTGATGGAGTCACTCTGTGGCATTTTGTGAGCCAGTCGGTGCCTTGCACTTTCTGGGGCGTAACTTTGGGTGTGTGGCCGCTGGCAATCTTAGGCGTTGATGAAGCAGTCAAGACACATGACAGACGACACCTTGTGCGCTACAATAAGTTCCTACGGATGCAGTTCGACACGCGCCTGGGAATGTGGAGTCCCAAGTAAAGCGACCGCAACGTTATGCTGGGCGATTGGATACGTCTGCGTCGAGTGTTTCTGCCATGCTAGTTCTCATTGACAGCAGCCAAGCCACTTCTCGAGTTCTGGATTGCAAGCGATGCCCTTTTGAATCTGGTACCTCCGAAGAGCAATTTATGTTTGACCCGGCAGGCCTGCCTTCGAATTTCACATGTCCCCCTGGAACTTCGTTCTGCCCCGAATGGAATGTGGTCACACACTTTTGTCGTCTCTTTTGTTGGAATGCTGGTGAGTGTATTACTGCCGGTGGTTGGGGCGGATAAGTTGCTGAAAACGTTTTAACACTGGCTGTGGGGAGTTCCTTCTCGAGAATGGAGCTGCATCGAGACAAGTTGCTGCTGGCATGTTCGTAGAAGGGCCAGTCATGCAGCTTAAGATCTTCAAACGACAAACTCCATTGACTCCATTCAAATAGGTCTGGGCTGATGACGACAAATTCAGCATGGTGACGATGTGTCGTCATATTTGGCATCCTCTCGAGCAGCGGCGTGATGGCGATGGCCAGGCGCTTGAAACTCGAAAACTCGATCAAGTGACGGTAACTCGCTTAGCCCTTAAAGGTCAGCCACGAGAAAGCCACACACCAGTCCATCCCTTCATTAGGGTACCCGTGTACTAACCGAAATTCGGTCCGCTCCTCATTTCGGGTACCCATGGGTACGGAAACAGTGGCCGAGAGCTCATTTTTCAAGAAAGCTCTGAACTCGCTGATAAATCAAGGAGAAAAAATATTTTATTCGGATCAATCCGAATAACTGCCAGCTCGAGTTCGGGTACCCGTGTCCAATCCGAAACCGAGTATACCCGCTACTGTCCCGATTGCGAGCTCTGCTGTGAACACACGAGTACGGAGCTACATATAGATATCGAGACTTCTTGTACGTACATTTGATGGAGCCAACTCACAAGAACTTGCGATTCTGGAACTCCTTGGTCCAAAATGGCCGCGATTGCGTACTTGTAACGAGGAGCGAGCGCACATGGAATTTACGACACGTACGTGGCGTTTATCTGCGAGTTCCTCGACTTGAATGTAGACATCGATTGGATGGACCCGTTCCTTGTTAACGGCAGATTCAGCCACCTTGTCAAAACGGTTACCAAAAAGTGTAAACATCACACCCGGTCTAAAAGTACTACAAGTAGGAATAACATTACACGTCCACAAAGTTACCGCTCTTCGTGGAGCCCATTGGAGTTGAGTCTACTTACGGCAAACGAAGTGAGTTCTTTGAGAGTACTTGCAGTAGCAAACATGAAAGATTTTTACCGAGTGTTTGTATTTCTTTTTCCCAGGTTACGCCCCCGATGTCCTAATTGGTGATACGCTCCATCTCCAAGCTCGCCAAAATGAATGCTCCCTCACCAAGTGCGTGGTTGTGCACGATCGGCCTACCGACATAGTACTCGTACGTTGCCGTCGAGTTGAGGCTGCAGACCGCCACAGTTCCGTTCCAGCCCAGGGTACCGTTATGGTAGTCAAGGAGGAAAGCGCCACTCTTGACGGTGTAGTTGTAGGCCTTGATCGCAGTGCTGACAAGCTTGCTGGCCTCGTCTTTGAGAAGGCCGAGGCGCAGACCCTTGAGAATGGAAAAGGTGTAGAGCATCGTGGAAGAGCTCTCGAGAAAGTTGCCCTTTTTGCCACCGAACGTTGGTAGCTGCCACCACACACCCGTGTCCTTGTCGGCGTAGGTAGCGATGCTCTTGCACAGTTGCGAGGCCTGGAGCTGGATCGCATCTGTCAGACGCACACATTCGGCGTTAGATTTGCCATGGCAGTCTCCAAGTTCCTCCCACGCGTTGACAAGACCGGCCAGGTACCAGCCCAGCGATCTACCCCAAACATAGGGACTCGCACCAGTGACCTTGTTGGCCCACACCGCCGTCTTGGAGGCGTCGTAGCCGTGTACAACCAATCCGGTGGACTTGTCGTAGGTGTTCAGGTACAGCAGCTCAATCTGCAGGAGCATGTCCCCATACGACCAGCCCGGTGCTGAAGCCATATAAGGCAGGAACGACACAGTGCCATCGAGGTACGACCAGTTCGGGTAAACGTAGTACCAGAAACCATTGTACTTGTTGCGGTTCTGCAACGTCAACGAGGAGTTGAGCAACGACAAAGTCTCCGACTCGGCTGCGGTGAGGGTGCCCTCAGTTGCGTTGATACGGAGCAGGGCCTGGCCGATGGTGAGCCGGTCCATGGGCATTTTTGCAGCGGCTTCGGGGCTCTTGAAGGCAGGCGAAATAGACGTCACGATCGAGTCTGCGTATTCCGTAAAATTGGCGACGCGCTCCGAGTCGCCGTCTGTGCCGTAAGCCTTGAGCCACGACTGGATTGCGAGAGCGAGGACACCCGACTCGAGCGTGCTGGTCACTGCACCCGACGAGAGCACGCCCTGCTTTCGGCTGATCACGCTCTCGATCATCCGTGTTGAGTACAGGAAGTCATTCGATGCGGTCGTGATGGCGGCAATGGCGGCTGCGATCAACGGGAAGAAAGCGCTCCGCATGGTGCTGCTCGTGGATTGGCTTTGACTCACTGCTGTCTGTTGTGGAAGTGATGGATCGAACTCTTAGCACTGCCAAGAGTTGTTGGCAAGACAGTGACCGTGACTCACGAATTACATGTATACAGTATTGTGATTATTGTACTGCCCTGTCGTGTTCTTGTAGGAAATGAAGCGAGATGTGCTGCCAAGCGACAAAGTGGCAACGCTTTCACTCTGG